TCATTTGGATGCTAAGATTTGGGTCAGAAAAAACAGCAAAGTGGAACAGTTAAATTTAGGCTGCTTTTTCAGTGGGCTAGATGAGACAATGGTTGTATTTATGGGAAACAAATCCTCCAAAATGGTTAGCAGGACAGCTTCATACCATGGGTGATTTGAAGATGAGCTCTGAGTTGTATGAAAGGAATGTTGGCTTAGAGAAAAAATGTTTATATTGAAAAATACCTTTCTTGGGTAAAATAGGAAAGTTGACTTTTTAAGAATGCATCATCAAAGCGAATAGTAAAAGTTGTGACTGAAGAGTCAGCGATGTTTACTCTGATAACAGAAGGGAAAATGGGAACTCTCTGCAAATTGGACCCTCCACAAGACAGGTTTGCTCAGAGAAAAGCCTGCTTACCCAGGCTAGCAAATAACTAACTTTTACTAACTTTAGGGATGTTTCACCTTTTAAAACTATGTACTGCTCATGAAATTTCTAGCTAATCATTTCCAACTCCAGGATACTGCGTTCAGCATTTCTCAACATTTGGCAACTTGTGTGGACTTCAGTTCCTAGAATTCCCAGCCAGCCTGCTGGCTGGGGAATTCTGGATGTTCACATATTCAAACCATTCCTCTTGAATATTCCACATTCATCCTCACTGATCTATTGTTTTGTTTCAGATGCCCATCACTTTTAACTTTTTATTTCCTTCCCATTTTCCTTTCTTATCTTGATTTTTCTGCAAATCTTGAGCATTTAAATGACATCAGCAGGATTACAATTTGCCTAGATTTTCTCCAGATTGTGCCAATGGTTTTTATATACTGTCCATAGGATGTTAGAAATAAATTGGAGTGTACAATTATGAGCCCAGACAAATATATGGATTTAAATAAAAATCCACCAGTTTCAAGGGATGTCCTTTGTACCTATGACATGGGCCTATGATCCCAATCAGCAGTTAGCTTGCATTAGGTGTGAAGAGCCAGCATAGTTTGTATGTCCCACTGATCCAGAGATATAAAACAGCAGCAGCAGCTTTGGTAGGGCCTTTTCTTCACTATTCACTCAGTTGCTCCTTCCACGATGCATGCAGAATTCTCACAAAAACGGAAAGAGGGATTCAACAGAGCTCTCTATCAGGTGCAGGAGTCAAGAGCATCGAAGTACCTGGAAGAAACAGTTTCATGAGACAGTTTCTTTGGCAGACTATCCTCCAGCTGCACAGAGTAGGAACCAGACAGCTTCAAGTGGCAGAACACTAGGAAATGGCAGCAAACTATTGAAGATAAAGGTAATGATTTCCCTCTCCAATCTGATGCTAGGGTACGGTCTTCATTTCTGTTTCTTGGTCAAAGGAGCCAGCTTGTCTGAAAACATTTTCTGTGGCCATGTGCCAAAGGTGTACAGAATGCTGTTAACTTCCCACCAAAGTAGTACCTATTCATCTACTCACATGAGCATGCTTTCAAACGGCTAGGTAGGAAGGAGCTGGGGCAAGGAACGGGAGCATACCCTCTTGCACAGTGTTTGGTTCTTGAACCCGGCCTGCAGCTTTCCAGCTGACAAACTCAACATCTTTAACCACTAAGCATTGCAGCCCCCCTCAACAACTATTGAAGAGGATAGCTAAATGCCTGTAGAGTTTGAGGGAGAGGATCCCGCTCTGCATTCCTAAACCAGCCAAATGTTTTCAAGTGTAGGGCTGGAAACTTTACCTCAAATTTTGTCCTATAATAAAAGAATACTTATCTGCCGGTCCAGCCAACATCTGGGTATTCTGGGGTTGCCATAAAGAAGAGGAAGTCAAGCTATTCTCCAAAGTACCTGAGGGCAGGTTAAGAAGCAATGGGTGGAAACTAACAAGGAGAGAAGCAACCTAAAACTAAGGAGAAATTTCCTGACAGAACAATTAACCAGTGGAACAACTTGCCTCCAGAAGTTGTAAATTCTCCAACACTGGAAGTTTTTAAGAAGAGATTGGGCAACCATTTGTCTGAAATGGTAGAGGGTTTCCTACCTGAGCAGTGGGTTGGACTAGAAGACCTCCAAGGTCCCTTCCAATTCTGTTATTCTATTCTATTCTATTTTTTGAAAAAGAAGGCAACATATAATTTGTAGCCTTTGGCTGCAAAATAGATTGGGCCAAACCTGGTATTCATGAAACAGGGAATAATTGTGAAGGTTCTCTCTCCAGCCTTTATCCTTTCCTCGGCCACCTTCAGTAGGATTACAGGTCTTGCTTGTATCTTGCAGAGACTGACTTTGCTGCAAGTCAGGAAATAATACAAAATGTACTCTGCATTATACAGGGGGTGCATCTTTTATGCCTGTATAATATGAATAATTCATTATGCCTTTTTATTAAGTATGTGCACCTAATCCATTTGAACATCCTTATTGTAAATCTAAATAATTCATTAGGCAGATTTGTTGTTGTGAGTTGTAAGAATTAAAGGTGAATATGCTCCAATTTATCATAGCAAGGGAATATGTTAAAAGTGAATTACTAATGACAAATAAGCTGAGGTTCTATATGCCTGGTATTTATAGAGTTTTATATTTCCACATGACTTTTAAACAATTCACTCTGCATCTACTTACTTCTACTTACATCTACTTACTTGGAAAAAAAAGTTCAGTCAAACTGAAAGGTCATAAATAAAACCCTAAAACATTCTGATTTAATATTTTAAAACTTACTAAAATGTTAAACGTTTAGAACTTTTAAAACATTTTAGTATCTCTTTTAATGACACTTATTTGGTTTGATTTTTAAAAAATATTTTTGCATTGTGAGATATTTTGATTGTCCTTTGAATGGAACCACAGGATAGAAAATAAATATTGATACAACATTCTGCTTATTTTGAAAATATTTTCTTGTTTCAGTATGAAAGTCTTAATTCAGTGGAAATTCAGTGGGCATAAAAAATGTAAGAAAAAGGCCTGTATGTACCCCGAGTTTTCAAAACACGCTGCTCATTGGCACCAATGTGTCAAGAGACATCTCCCTTAATACATGTATGGCTTTCTACCAGTGGTGGGATTCAAAAATTTTTACTACCGGTTCTGTCGGCATGGCTTGGTGGATGTGGCGTGGCTTGGTGGCCGTGGCTTGGTGGGCATGGCAGGGGAAGGTTACTGCAAAATCTCCATTCCCTCCCCACCCCACTAACCTGCTTTCCTGCTCCATTCTCCTGTGCAGGGCAACAAAAGAAGACCCAGCCGATCAGCTGGGACTCAAGAGGCAGAGAATAGATGGGGGCAAGGCCAGTCAGTGGTGGCATTTGCCGGTTCTCCAAACGACTCAAAATTTCTGCTACCGGTTCTCCAGAACTGGTCAGAACCCTGCTGAATACCACCTCTGCTTCCTGCCCTACCTGAATTTTTAACAATATACCAGAATTTTAATTTAAAAAATCAGGAAACTGTCATGCAGCAAAGCATAGCCTTAATATTCAGCACAATCTTTAACATTAAAATATCTTAGATTCTATGTAGGCCTCATATTTTTTAAACAATAAAAATGGTGTGGCTACTGAGACAGTGGTGGGAATGACAGTACAGGGATCAGAGAGAGACAGTGGAGATCATCTTCACTCATTTACCTTTGGCAAGTCGATGCTTTATCATCAATCATCTCTCCCCTAGCAGCCAATTTATGAAAAGAAAACTCCACAGACATTGTCAGAAAGTGACTGCAAAATTCCAGAGGCATACACTTTTTCACGTTGTACAAATATGAGGTTTTGCATCTGTGTGGGAGCGCATATGAAACATTTATTCAATTGTTAAAGGAGCTGCATCTCTTCCCAGATTCACGTGACTGTTTTTAAACTGCTCGTGGCTATTTT